AATCCTTCTATGCGATCGCATGACTCCCTCTGCGATCGCATAGAACAAAAGTTCTCGGCAAATTTTCTGCTATCTTTTAAGGCATAAAGTGGTCCGATTGACCATCCGAAACTCACCCGAGGCCCTCGGGACCTCAACCAAACATGCCAACATATCCCATAACATCATTCAAACTTGTTCCAATCATCAAAACACCTCAGACAACATCAAATTACTCGAAACTCATCGAATTCAAGCCTAAGTTTCTCAAAACCTCCGAAATGCACTTTCGATCAAAAACCCGACCAAACGACGTCCGAATGACCTGAAATTTTGCACACACATCACAAATCACATAACGAAGCTACAGCAACTCTCGGAACTCCATTCCGACCCTCGGATCAGAATCCCGCCCATCAATCGGAATTCGCCAAAATACTAACTTCGCCAATTCAAGCCTAATTCTACACCGGACCTCCAAAATCAATTCCGATCACACTCCTAAGTCACAAATCATCCCTCGAAGCTAACCGAATCACCGGAAATTACATCCGAGCCCTCTAACTCAATAGTCAACATTCGGTTGACTTTTCCAACTTAAGCCTTCCTTAAAGAGACTAAGTGTCTCATTTCTTATCAAAACCAATCCAAATCAATTCTAACACACCACATACCGATAACGAAACATGAAGAAGCATAAAATGGGGGAAACGGAGCGGTAACACATGAGACGACGGGTCGGGTCGTCACAATGCCCCTCATGTTGTTGTTTTGCTTTAAGATAAGCTCCTATCAAGTTCTAACCATTTCATTAATGAATATTAATTTGTTTTCGGTGGATAAAAAGATTTTCCTTTTTTTGGAATTATTTTAACTTCTTAATTCCCTACTTGCTACAATCTCTTTCCTATAAGAACTTCACTCAGATGCCTAAATAGAAAAGATTAAATTATTCATTCATTCTCTCTAGTTCTATTTTTGTATTATTAAAAAGAAGAGAACAAAATCCATCTATGTTATTGGCATTATTTGGTAAGTAACAAACTTCAACAATGTTGCCCAAATAATATATATATATATATATATATATATATATAAGCAAGAAAGTTACCATATATAATTGCATTGTGGTTAAGCCAAATGGCAAGCTATTATAAAGCCTCTGGGCAATCTTAAAAAAAAAGTTTTTAACATTATAAAAACTTTTGAATTATAATAGAACCTACACAGAATATAATTCAACTATGCATTTAATGTTTGATTGACATATATTATAACAAAATTAACTCATTCATTGTTTAACAATTCCACGATTGAAAAATACTTCCATAACAATATATATGGCTTAAGAGAATACTATAATATGGAAACAAATATATTGAATACTCTAACCACTCTAAAAATAAGTTTTCCAGACTCATAAGTGGTGCAGTCCATCAATCAACACTAAAAGCATGCCAATCGCATGTAATCTAATGTTAAATGTAAATTAACATTTTGTACTAATTACTCTAATGTTTTGCCTATGTTAAAAAAGAAAAATACGAAAAGAAAAGAATCAATAAATTTATAGTAATGGTTAGTAATCTCAAAAATTAAAGTTAATAAAAAAATTAATCAATCAGTGAATATCTTTTAACTTTTTTATTTTTGGGCCAAGCATGCGATTTTGATCATACTAACTTTTTAATAGGCTAAAGAACTTGGTGAATGGGTCAATGGACATTGAATATCTAATGGAAGAACTAAGAGAGAAGCTGAAAAAATCTGCTAAAATTCTCCGGCGGGAGAAAAATGAATATGATGTGAAGCATTTTCTAATTTAATTAATCTGAATAAAGAGTAGAAACAACTATATAGTGATAAAATCGTATAAAAGAAAATGAAACTCAAATGGAAAAAGTACTCAAATAGGTATCTTGTATTGCTATCAAATGTATATCTAAATTATTCATGCTAAAATTTAAAAAGACCATGTCACCGAAGTCTTTGCAGGTGAAGCCAAACTAAAGTGATAAAATAATACTTACCATAAAAGAAGCTTGAGCAACTAAATAAAAGTTTAAATATGAAATTAACTAATATCTATTTTTAGAGTAATAAAAATAAATAAATAATAATCAAATGTATTATTTAATAACATTAAATAATGAAAGTATTTCAAAAATAAATTAAAATCTATATATGTATATATTTATATCTATTAGTATATTATTAAAAAGAAAATAATACCGAATGAAAATTGTTAAACTTCAAATATCAGAAACAAATATACAAATTAATTCATTCCATTTTCTAATGGTTGATACACTGCATGATAAAGCAATAATCTTCCTACAATTGATTTAATCTAATTTATATTTTTTAGAATTTAATTAATTTGTATAAATAATTAAAAAAATGCTACCAACGGTAAGCAAATCATATAAAGATTTACAGAAAATAAAACTCAAATTGGAGAAAAATGCCCATATAGGTAATTTCCATAATACCAAATGACACTCAAAACCTGTCAAAATAAGTTGGAAATATAGGAGATAGAAAATTTACAAGTTTAATGCACATAATATAAAAATTATAAGTACTTAAAATAGAGAGATTGATAATAGGTGAATTTGACTATAATCACACCTTAAATAATCACCTTCTTGTGTAGTTTTAATGCTAAAAGTGATAACAAAATGCTCTTATTAGTGCTTTTCATGATTTGTAGGTAATATATGTATAAAGACGGCTAAGGAGCAGTTTTGGAGTCAAAAGTGATGAAAAAGAGGCCAACTGTGAAATTTCCTAAGTGACCCGTGCAAAAACAGGCCGAAGATTCAGAGAACTGGATCCACCGCGGTTCCACCGCGACCGCGGTAGAACCGCGGTGGGAAGCAGCTGCAGAAGTTCAGAGATTCCGCGAGGGTGTTTGGCCGCGGTTCTACCGCGACCGCGGCAAAACCGCGGCAGACGCAGAAACTTCTGGGACCAAAGCGTCAATTACGGGATTTTTAGACCTAAACCCTATTTAAAACATTAGACTTCGCCCAAGAGAGGCATGTATTGATTTTTTAGGTTTCTTAGCAAGGAAAAAGATTGTGAGAAAATACTCTAAACATCTTTCTTCTTTTCTTTTGATTTTATGATGAATTCAAGCTTAGTTTATTTTTCCATAGCCATGAGTAGCTAAATTCCTTGTCTAAGGCTTTGATGGACCCTATTGGGTGATGAACTTCTTGTTTATGTGAATACAAATTGCTAGTTTAATCTTTATTTGTTCAACTTCGTGTCCGTTGTAGTTAATTGACAGGATCCTCAATTAGCTGTGCCTATTTAGTGTGCATAACTTGGAAAAGAGTGCATATTTAGGGTATTGTTGAACAACACCATTCCTAGATTATTAGAGGAATCTATAATTGCGGGTTTAAAGGCGGGATTAGGGATAACGAAGCCTTGGGTGTAATCTAAGTGAATCGTGCTAAATAAAGTAAGCTAGTGTATCTCGGGAGAGTGCAATAGTAGATTACTGTGATTACTCGGGAGAGAATTGCGGTAAGATTAGCGTTCATGATTGATAGAGATGTGTGGGTAAATTTGTATGAGCATAAACAGAAGGGATTCCATCAATAGGGCAAATCATTGCCTTAGCTTTTTCCCATAATTGTTTACAACCTTATTAATTTAGTTACAGCCATTTAGTTACTTGCAAGCTAGTTGTTAAAGAACACTCAACTGGGAATTTGAATATTTGAGAAGCTGGTTCTGAAGACTTGGTGGGTCCGAAGATAGCGGTTGATAGGTTAACTCTCTGTGGATTCGACCCTGGGCGTAATATTCGGGTTATATTTGCAACGTCTATAGAGTCCTTTTTATAAGGCATAGTTGGGCGTGATCAGATAGATTAAAAGAACTAACAAATCTAGAAGATTAAATGGAACTTGGCAGCTACATAGCCTCAAGTGGACTCCATGTAGTTCAATCAGCGAGTTGGCCTCTAAATAAACCTGGATATTAAACAAAGATTACATACACACATGAACCTCAATCATGATGTGGTTAGTAATACCGGTTCCTTCTCTGGGACAACAAAGAGTAAGTTTAATATTATATATTTAGTTACATCTATAATTAAGTTCTGACGCCATTCGTGACGCTTATTTGATGAAAGATGTTTTGAGAAATGGCTTCTTAATTCTAATCCCTTGCAACAAAGAGAACAAAGAGAAAGTATACAAGTGAAGTGAAGAGTGGAATATTACTTTAGTGAAGGGCAACAGGACAAAAGCACGGCACGCAACGAGGCTAATGTTGTGGGCGATGGATATTGCAACACGTGGAAATAAGAATATCTCAAGAAAAGGGAAATAACAGAACGACATGTGGCAGTAGGAGAAGCCATTTGTGAGTCAGGTTCCTGAATGTTTGGGACAAGTAAAGATAAGAGAGTAGATAGAGCCGTCCAAGCACCAACAAAGTTGACAAACTCAACACTTGCTACTCTCCCATTAAGTGTAATCTACCAAATTAAATGTACTGAAAATACTTGCTCACACCACTTTTTTACCACAATAAAGCAATCCGATCATAAAAGTCACAATAAAGTGATCAGAATACATAATATATTTGAATACGCTTTATGAGATAAAATAATAAGCCAAATGAGTATCTTGTAGTAGTAGTCATGGGCGGGATTAGGTGGGCGAAAGGGGATTAAATCCCCTTCGCACATAATATATATNCGACATTAAATAAATGTCGTATTAGGTCACATAAATGTCACATAATCAATTACCGACGTTTATTTTACATTTATGCCAAATGTCGGAAATTTTCCGACATTTAAGTAAATGTCAGTAAATGCTTAGTGACTTTTATCTACTGACTTTTAATCAAATGTCACCTATTTGAGTTCATAACCATATAATTTGTGACATATAAAAAAGTCAGAAAATTATTTGTAAATTAAAAAAAATATAGACGCACGGTTAAAATTAAAAACAAGACATTTATTATATTTGCCTTTTAGATACAATATAGAGAAGAAGAAAAAAAAACAATTATATTTATTTGCTCTTCGCAATACCGCAAACATTCACATTCATGTCAAAAGTTTCAAGTGACATACACCACAGATAATTTAAATAAATTAAACAATAGTCCAGTACAATATATACATAATTGTAACTTTTCTCTTTGTTAACATCTCCAAAATAGCCTATACAATTTGAAGCTTTAGTATCCGTGTTCTTTGACGAAGAAGCTTTGGTATCAGTATATCACCACGCCAAGTATTCACCCACACTATAGTAGCTCACATCCTTCAAAAGTGTTGTCTCCAATAACTGAAAAGAAAAGAATTATACTAAACTAGTTAGGGAACGAACAAAAAAAACAATATTAAAAAAGTAAGAAAAGCATTAATAGAGGGACAATGGCCTTGTTGCCTTTGCTACATAATTTTAAACAAGATAATGCACCAAACTATTTGTTTAGTATAGATTGTGACACATGATAAACCAACAGAGGCAACGCAAGTAAACACCAGTATAACAAGTATAGTGTTTATTACCACACAGAAGGGTGCAGAGCAAAGTAAATGATCAAGCTGAAACAATATACTACATAACAATTTCAAAGGGATAACCCAACAACCTGATGGGATAGATTAAAAGAACTAACAAATCTAGAAGATTAAATGGAACTTGGCAGCTACATAGCCTCAAGTGGACTCCATGTAGTTCAATCAGCGAGTTGGCCTCTAAATAAACCTGGATATTAAACAAAGATTACATACACACATGAACCTCTAATGGATTCTTTATCAAATCAATTTGATAACTTATCCAGAACTCCAAAGCATTCTCTCAAACAGTTGGAAGGCAATATACTACTATACAGTTCAAAAGGTAAATTTCGTATCAATTAAAATGCACAATATAATTAGGTGCTCTAATTCAATTATAGAAGGGTAATACACTGACATGCGGCGATATTTCATCTATCGGATGCGGCACACATCTATGAAATACGATACATCAACTATCCAGAGTTCATTCACATCCAAAGTGAATGAATCACAAACCCATCTTTTAATTAATATGAACAACCCAGAATTTCAAATTAAAAGAAGAAAAATTAATTGAAGATTCCTCAAAGTCTCAATAAAAAACCTCGCACCGATTACATTGACTTGAACTCTGGCTTCTCCTTCTGGCAAGGTCACTAGACTACGAACTTCGAATGTCTTGAAGGTGAAGAAGACATTGACTGCATATTCGATTTCAGTTCGATTTGAATTTGTTCACAGAGGTTTGGAAGGGGTCTCCTAATGAGGCGAGAGAAGAGCACGGAGGTGGAGGTTGCCATCACCTATGATTCTGTAAAATATGACATAAATAGCATGGCACCTTTCGAGCAAGATGAACAGAGAATGATGGATGTTGTCTCGAAGAATTTAGGGTTTCAAAGGGGGAGGGTTCTGAAAGGGGGCTGGAGATAGGCAAAATAAAAAGAAAGGAATAAGCGATTTAAATACAACTGCGTAGAAAATTTCCCACTGTTTGCTGCAAATGTCGATAAACATAGTAAAAAATACATCATTTGAATCAAATGTCATAATATTTAATGACTTTTCATGCTAAATGATGTTCATTTAACCACATATTGGTTTAAATGTCAGAAAAGTAACTGTTTAATGACATTTGTTATAAATGTCGTCAATTAAATGTGGTTGTAGCCTATATTTCTTGTAGTGCCATTAGCATTCACTTTTGTAATTTAACGTAATAATGTTGGTGATCTTAATTACATGAAGTATCTAGATCTTTAACTAGCTTATAATTTTTTAAAGTTGGATGCGAAGATGCCTCTTTGAATATAAATACCGATTGAAGATACAGATCATGAAGTTGAGGAAGTTTCAACAATATTATAATACTATGAGCTTTGGCTGCAATCATGGGCGAAGCTACATGTTATAAAGGGTGGTCAGCTGATACCTTTCGTTGGAAAATTACGCTATGTATATAGGTAAAATATTAGATTTTAGAGGTATATAACATATATTGAACACTCATTTTCGGAGAATTTTTTTTACTTCTTTCAAGTTTGAACACCCTTGAGTAAATTCCTAACTTCGCTACTGGCTGCAATATAAGCTTTGGCAAAACATTAATGTACGTTAAAAAATTAAACACGTCGAAGTATAAACTTAATTAATTAATTAATTAATTAACTAGAGTAGTTAACAGCTGTTTCATTTGGTGGAACTCTAGATGTGTCAAAATATAATGCAGAAGTGATCATACCAGAATTTTGCATATTTTTGTAGGTTTGGCTAAATCGTGAGGCCCCGCTTAATTGGCATTTTTGGAGCCAGCAATTAGGAAAGATTATATTACTGCTTTAAATCCTATTGTTTTCGGCTCTTCTTTCTTGTATACTTTTGCATTTTTGGTGCCAGTCAATTAGAAAAACGTTATATTATTATTAGTACTTTAAATCTTACTGTTTTCGGCTATTAATATAAGGGGCTCTCCTAATTTTAAGTTCTTGTAACGATCTTAATATTAGATGTTAGCTCTTCTTTATATATATATATATATATATATATATATATATATATATATATATATATATATATATATATATATATATATATATTCTTTATGTCAATTGAGGTCATTGTCTAAGAATCGGTGGGGTGTATTATCTTAAAAAGCTTTGTTAGGAATGTGTTGGGTCATGTGAAAGAATTAGAGAAGTATTCTCGTCAAGTAATTAAGAATTCATTATTGTTTTCTTGATAGTGCCTTCATCCTATTGTGTAGTTCTGAAAGTGTCATTATTTAGAAAATCAGATTCTTTATTTTGAATTTTCAAATATGATTTCAGCTCCAGTTGGGGCCTGAACTATCACCACGAGGTTCCACATTACGTGGTAAAATGCTTAAAATATCATGAGCATAAATATGGTTCTTGTAAGTAAGGGAAAGGTAAAAAAGACAATTGCAGTGTATTTTAAACAAAAAAAAGCCTATTTTTACAAAAGTTTATAAAATCGGGACAATTCTTAAATAGTAGGCACGTGCACCATGCGGGGACAACCCGCACAAATTCTTAGAACGAACACTGAACTTTTTCGTAAAATTTACATGGTGCGCTATATTAGGTCGCCACCTTTTAATTTATACTCATTTTATTTTTCCGTTTGCATCCGTACTCATTATTTAGTTAAAAGTATTTTAAAAGGCGATTTTACCCTTCTTTAATAAGGGACTATTGACAAACTGCCGGACAAAAACTTAAACATGTTTAGGCTGAAGTTTTAGCAAATGAACTAAAAAACTTCAGCTTGTTTAGACTGAAGTTTCGGATCTTAGGACAATTGTAGACTACGTTACAAAACTTCAGCATGTTTTGGTATGAAGTTTTCAAATGAACTAAATAACTTCCGCATGCATTAGCAAAAACTCATTAGAAAATTACATACTGCAAGACAAAAACTTAAGCATGTTTAGCCTAAAGTTTTAGCAAATGATCTAAAAAACTTAAAGCATGTTTAGTCTGAAGTTTTAGCAAATGAACTAAAAAACTTAAGCATGTTTAGTCTGAAGTTTTAGCAAATGAACCAAAAAACTTAAGCATGTTTAGTCTGAAGTTTTAGCAAATGAACCAAAAAACTTAAGCATGTTTAGTCTGAAGTTTTAGCAAATGAACTAAATAACTTCAGCATATTTAGACTGAAATTTCGGATAAAACTCATGACAAAACTGTAGACTGCAGGATAAATAACTTCAACATACATTAGTATGAAATTTTAGTCTCAACGTGAAACAACTTCATGCAAATGTGATTCTTAAGATAATCTTTATAAGTTTCTAATTTTTTGATAAAGTTGCTGAGAGGAGAGGAGGAAATCTTTTTTCCAGAATGAGGTTGCAGATCACGCGATTAATGCATAATGCAGGTTTTATATCTTTTGTCAGGGGTGTAATTGTCATATTTTTACGGATTTTTTGTCAATCAGCTACCAAATCAATAATTTTTAAAAATATGGTACAGGTTAAAAAGTGGCACAAATATAGGGTACGACGGCAAATCCCGTCTTTTTCGTTATCTCGCCTCATTTTGACCCAGCCCATATGGCACTCCAGTCGGACCAACAGTCGCAAGTGGATTAACATCACTACTTCAGAATAGTGAAAAGGAAAACAACAACAAAACCAATAGAGTCCCAGAAGTAGGGTCTGGGAAGGTAGTGTGTACTCAGACCTTACCCCTACCATAAGTAGGTAGAGAGAGAGAGGGTGTTTCTGATAGAGAAAAGGGAGAAAAAAACAAAAATTTGTTTTCCATTATTTTTTTCCATTGATGGTAGAAAGTTCTTATGTACAATTCTGTACAGGTCAATGATAGAACTATTTATTCAAAAGAATTTACAGGTGAAATGGGGGTTTAGGCCCCCCCATCTGCTAGATAACTGGGAATAATAATCATGTACATTATGTACAAAGGAAACAAGTTGGTGAGGGATCAATAAGTCACCATGTCAGTCGCTGATGTCAAAATACTTGGGATCTCTTGGATAATGATGTTCCACATGCAACTGCAATTTTAAAAACATGGTTTGTAATTAGTGCCATTGAACTAACTGGGTTTCTCTGATATTACAATTGAAGGCAGGCAGCCCTCTACAGTGCCAAACAATATGTAGTTCTGCATCCAAAGGACAATATACTCTTCCACAGAAGAATGAAGACAATAACCAAAGCGAGTTCTATGTCAGAAAACAAGCACAAAACCAGAGTCAAGCAATAATGAATATGCATGCATTTACGAATGATGAACGCAATTATTGAATTATGGGAATCTCATACTATTATATTTGAAGTCAAGCAAATGCTAAAATTTTCTGGTTCACATATTAATGACCAAGAGCATGCCACTCCACACAGGCATAAGATTAGCTTCATTTGGTTCCGATGGAGAAAACACAGTTCTCCATCTTGGGAGAAAGTAAGCAGAGGTTGGATGGTTGGCACTTGGCAGAAGGCGATTCTTGCTGTAGTTGCAATAAACGTAGAAGATGGCAATCAAATGACAATGGCACTGTCATGGTTCTTAGTCTGAATGTGAAATGTTGTTCTTTTCTTTCTTTGTAGAGACTCAAGTTTCCTTAATGTTCCTGATGACTGCCAATTTCTAACAGGATGACTAAACAGACTGTACAAGAGCTAATAAAATACAATATAGCTCATGGCTGACATGGACTGGACTACGAGCAAAGGAGAATAAAGTGAGTTGATTCAGATACATAGAGAGAGCCGTGCCAGCAAAGAGATATGAAGCCAGATAATCATGGACATTAGGATAAGATGTGGCATGTCAAACAGTAATACCGCTTCATGAACTGTTAGATGAAAGACACATTTATTTAACTATTTAAGGTTTGCAACACACAAAATTTAGTGCGACCATTTATTTTTCTTGGGCCAAGTACGAAAATATATATTATGCAAAATGTTGGTAATTCTCGACCAAAAACATCTATCCGCTGACCCACTATGTTGAATTTTGTGACCACCTCATCTGAAAACTAAAACTGTTTGAGAAAGAACAATCAGGGCCGGCGGACCCACATAAAGCCAGGTGATTTTCGAACACCCATGTGAGACAATTTCTTGTTACCGTTGATCCTTTCTTTCTCTTTACATCCCACCCTGACTTCCTCTCGCCCACGACACAACTTATGAAATGTGGTTGCCTTAATCCTTCTCTTTACTTTCTTTTGCTCATCATCTAAACCCACTTGATCTCCTCTCCCCAAGGGACACAATCACTAAGTATGGTTTTTCTCCCTCTCATGGTGGAAGAGCAGCGACCGTTAAATCCTTGGGTCCCTCCTAGAGAACAAGGTTACTTACTAATTAGGTCTACAAAACGCCCCCTTACAACCAAACACATGGAAATACTTTTGCTACTGGATTGCAATGACACTAAAACCTAACAGCTCTGTCAAATAAAATACCACCTTGAATTGTGCGAACCATCTAATCTAAAGGTTTAAAGCCAAAGGTCCAAGTCTCATGCCACCTAGTAACAAAGAATACTTTCACAGGCTTCGCATAAGAAAACGAATCACCTGCTCGTTAAGGAACGTGTTGCAGACATTTGCAAACATAAAACTAATTAAATAAATGTGTCTCCTCTCCAACTAAACTAAGGAATTATATCCATGCACCAACAAGTCTGAATTAGTAATCACAACATGATTTTCTTCATATTAACAAATTTCAACCCATTTGCATGACATCCAGTCAACACACTGAGGCAACAGGGTAAACAGTGTGCACCTCAGAGGTCAATCTAGTCCAACATCACTGAACCTTTCTGTAATAATTGTAGATGCTTTAGTAGACAGTAGGATAGATAATGCATCGTAAAACCATGTTGGACATACCTTGCCTTCATCAGCATCTGAATGTCGTTGAGGGAAAACTACTCTCATATCGTTGTACAAATAGAATCGTCTTCCCCCTTCAACGTCCACAACATTTCTTACTGTCGGAGAGGACTGATCATCTTTGCACTGAAGACCTGATTTTGAGCTCTTCTTGGGATAGGGACACGAGAACCAGAGATGTAGAGCATAACGAAGAACACTAGAATTAGCAGTACTCTCATTCACCTTTGAAGTGTTATTAACAGGTTTGCTTCCAGGATGGCCTGCCTCGCCACTACCATGGGATTTGCTAGAATAAAGAATTGAACTGTTATGCAGCATAGAATCCTCAACACTAACTGAAGGTGGTCCGCTATCCATCTTCCTATCTAAACTCTTGTTTGCAGCTTTATCCAGAGACAAATTAATCTTTTGACGTAAAAATGTCTGCAATCACATAACTAGCGTTAGATCACCATTGTCAGATGTGGAATCACATAAATGCTAGTATGACTTTAATCTAATGCACCATGTATATCCTATCAAAATCAAAGTAATCACTAAAATATCATATACAAAATTGTGTTAGCTGGGCATAATTGCACCTATCTTCCAGTTACACATTTACATGCAGAGATCATCCAATACCAATACTAGAAAAATAAATATTCAATTCCAGTGAACTGAAACCAGGATTGCCTGCAAAGATAGTTCACCGCTCCGAATCATTAAGACCAGTGAAGGAATCAACAGGCAACAATTGGGTTGCAGATAAACAGTTGCATTGGCTAGTGAATCCCTGTTTCACTAGTTTGGCTGAAGAAAAATGCTTCATGCAGTGGAGTTCAAATAGTGATGAAAACAAAAAGTGTTCAAGGCTATGCAAAACTGCATAATATTTGGAGAAGCTATTTTGTTTCAACTTCCTGTTTCATGAGACCCTCTATGCTGAATCGAAGCCCAAGGAAAGCAAAGAGATGAAAGCTTAAAATAGTTGAAAGATATGAATAAGCTCATAAATTTAGGATTTTCAACCAATAACCACATGGCAAGAGTTTACCGAGAAGCTTGTCAAAAGATTTTCGGCTTGTTGCAACTTCAAACTTCATGATTCAGGGGAAACTCATATTCTTTCCTACTCCTCGCTCTTCAAAGAGCATGGATCCAACCATTGAATAAGCTTCAAAATAACAACCATCGACACACCAACAATCACAAACTAGTAGTAGTTTGCTGTATGAATCCTCCATATCCATCCTACTCTATTGGCTCCTTTCGTTTCAATGCTCAATAATTTGTATTTTAAGATAACTTAGAATACTATAATTAGAGACACTTTAAATCTCACGCTTATCCCTACATTGACATACAAATCTGCCATAATAAAGCTCATGTCAAACACCAAACCTAATGTAAAGGTACCAATAACGACTAAACCTTAATCCAAACTAGTTGATATAGTCAATATGGACTCATTACTTCCCTTGTATTTATTCTCGCTAAGTTCGCGTGGATTTTGAGGGATCATAAAACTTTTGTAACAACTTTCCTCCATCTGCTTTTAGGTCTATCGAGTCGGCTTTAATACTGTCAATCATCGTAGTAGCGCACTTATAGACTGGTGCATTTGGAGTTTTACGTCGGATATGGCCAAGCTATCTAATCTCTCCTTTTACCCTCTATGTTACTATTTGCATCCATTAATGCAATCAGTCATAAAAACTAGCATGCCAATGCATTCAACCTTAACATTTGCTTTTCTATATGTTTGGCTTTTAAGGCCTAGCTTTCACTGCGACATAACATTAGTTCTGCACTCAATTTAAAGCTCATGAACAGATTACTTATCTAGCATACGCAGATGCTTCATGGATTTACTGCCTCTTAAGCCATTTTCCAGTCGCAACATTGAACAAATAAACTGATGACCATGCTAGATATTTTCAAATAAGGAGATTAAATATGGCTCATACACAATGTTGGTTGCAAGTCAGCCATAGCATGATATCAACTGAAACCCCCACCAAAATAAAAGATTTACGCAGAGTTATTATTCAATAACATGTCATTAATAAATTTGACTTTGCAAAACCTAAGTGATGGCAAAATAAGGTTGCAATAGTTGGCTTGAGCTCAGAGAAGTTGAACTTTGCGCGCATTTACAACTTTTTGTAATTTGTCTATGGTGTCTAGTTAGATATAATCAACAAGACATTAAAAGCTTCAAGTGAAGCTCCACTCTATTCCATTTATATGACACTCTTTTCACTTTTGAAAGTTTCAAAATGTTTAATGCAATTTCACTACTAATACTATAAATTCTACAACTTTCAAGCATTAACATTCACTTAACCATTCAGCTTTTCAACTTGATGTGATGCTTTCTCCATTAAATAAACTATTCAACCACTACTTTAATAATTTCTTTATTACCACTGATATAATAAGTCAGATTAAATTTTAAGCTATCCAATCAAACACCATCATAAAAAGGAATAGAGAGAGTGTTACAAACAAACTGCATGCTGAGCATATAGAGAATATTTCAAGTGAATAGATGAGGAAATGCAGCTTGTTGCATCATTATGATATACAATAAAAGCTCTCCAAATTATGCCAAAGTTACATGCCTTTCTCCACCTAGAGTTCACCTTAAAATAGAAACAAACCCCACCTCAAAGTGGTAATACAGCTTGAACCTACCTTAGTACCAGCTGGCATGTCACTCAAATCATAGCTACAAAAGAATGTGTGGATAGGTGTCCTCTCTGGATTGCTGAGGACCTGCCAATAGCAATCAAAAGTTTGTATTATACATATTGAATTCAGCAAAGATAAAGAACATTTATGTTCAAACCAGAAGCAAAAATTACCAAAAAATGTACTCCCTCCGTTTCAATTGATGTAAACCTATTTGACTGAGCACGGAGTTGAAAGAAAAAAAAGAAGACCTTTGAACTTGTGTGGTATAAAATGAGGCACATATATTTTGTGTGGCTATAAATTATTGCATAAAGGTAAAATGTTTCCAAATATGGAAAAGGGTCATTCTTTTTGGCACGGACTAAAAAGGAAATAGGTTCGCATAAATTGAAACCGAGGGAGTATATATCCTATAACTAGATGTCACAAAGAGCTGTAGCATTCAGAAAGAACGGAAATTTCTACTTTGTTTTTATAAAGGCGGTGTCTGAACCAACTTGTGCACAGAAGAAGGAACACTAAATTCTTCAATATCAAACAATTTTTTCTTCAACATCAAATTAGCAAATGCAACTGATAGAGTGCTTAGAATTTCAAGGATGGGTTCCTTTTTCCCCAGAGCAGAGATATGTTTCAGAGCTATCTCTTTCACAAGGAAATTACACTCAAGATAAGGCAGTTCCACATGCACATGCAAGATGAAAGGATAGGAGCAGAATACCAGTTGTATGCGCCCTTTCATCGGTATACGTACGCGGCCCTTGTTTGTTTGCGAACCATTAGTGCTAGAGTTCCTGATTCGTGAGCCTTTACCGTCACTACCTGGTCTTCCAAGATCTATTGATGAGTAGTACAGCAAGAAGTTATCGCCATCTACACTAGTTACTGCAAATGGAAGCTTCTGAGGATGTGGTGAGAAATTTCCTCCAGTGATACTAAGGACAGCAAGAAAACCATCAATTCTCTGCACAAGTATATTACAATTTGTCAACAAAAGCAATTCGGCGAACCATTTACAAGATCATGGCATGAATGCTTAAAGAAAGAGATCAAGGAAGACTAATGCTCAAAAGGAAGGCCAAGGATAAAATGGATGGCATCTGAAAGAATACTAATAGCATCATTCTAGATAAAGGCAGTAAGATCCACCTGGCTAACTACACTGGATGCCAAACGACCAGATAAGAGTGACTCCTCGAATGAACCAACTAAGGACCTTTTTACAGACAGTCCACTAAGACTTCTACCAAATCTTGCACATTGATTTGTCGGAGCTGAGTTTTGTGACTTGGACCGCCTCATGGCACTTATACTTTCAGGCGTGACACGTTCAAAGTTCATCTCAAAAACTTCAACATCTCGGAAAAGTTCACTTCCCGTTCTGCAATCCTCTTCTTTCCGAGGAGATAGAACATCTGAAAGACTTCGATCAAATGAGTGCTCCACATCCTTCAAAGTTAAGTAGTTATCGTAATGATCCTCCCAAGGATTCCTTAACCTTTCAGAACGTCTCACCCTCATATGAGATTTTGGCCCAAGAGGAGAAAGAGACAGTGGTGGCGAGAATGTAAATTCTCCGGGTATGTGCATTGCCCCATCTTTCAACTGTGTTTTTATCATATCTGCACAAAAATCTAACCCAGGGGACGGAGGAGTAAAAGGAATCTCAGATTCAGGCCCCTCGTCATTGAACAAAGGGCCATCTGTGACAAAAGGGGAGACTCCTCCATAGGCTTCATTTGGTGAACAATTCCCCGTAGCAAAAGATGGCATGAACCAATTTCTATTACTAAAGTTGTTTGTGTTGCCTATATGAGCCTTCTTATGTTCTTGTGAGGGAGCACCATATTTATCAAGCGTGAAGTTGGAATTACTCCTAAAAACAGTACTACCACCAATATCCAGAGATTCACCTGGAAATTTATCAGGAAGAACCATGCCATTCAAAGGTGACAACAAGCGTTTCCTAACTAATGAACTTGTAGTCTCAGTCATTTTGTCAATGTCCCGAACCACAGTAGATGAGTGAACGCCATCAGATGGATTTGTTTCGAATAAATTAGCAGCGCTTTTCATCGCAATTTTTGATTCAAACCCGACAATCCTTGACGCAGGACTCTGGGTAGTAGTCCTTGCACCATTATGGGTTAAGAAGCCATGCTTTTCTGCAGAGTCAATCCTCAATTTATGCATGTTTGTCATACCATCTTTATGAATACTAAGAACATCAGCATCCCTCGAAACACCCCTAGACGAGGCGAATGCAAAATCTGCTGCTGATGTGCGATTGCTAAGGCAACTTATGTGCATTCCACTCATATCACAGCTGCTCATATTGCCAGCAAATCTAGCAGGAGTTTGAACAAATGTGCTCAATGATGTGGCCACTTCCTCAGCAACACTGCTGGAGGGCACTTGAGGCAACCCCATCTCTAACTTAAAATTTGTTACTTCCCACAAACTTCTTGTCGAAATCTCAAATATCTAATCTACTACACTACCTAAATTCTATCTCCTGTCTTACAGCAATTCAATATCTAATAATCTCAGCCCCATGAAATTGCCAACAGTTCCATCTCCTACCAATGGAACAAACCTAAATGCAGCACAACTAGGTAAAAGCTACAACATTATCTATCATCACACACTCGATAACAACTACCTATCTATCAACGGAATCCCCAGAAATGTTTCATCGAACAATCCAGCATCTACATTCGACCTGAATAGTAAGTAAGAACAATAAGCACAGGCTTCAAACCACTGTAATATACTAGACTTGCAACCCATGATTCGTTCCACAAGATCAAACCAAATCCTGAAAAAGGAAATGTAGAAACATTAGTCCTGTCTCCTGGTCAAACTAATCATCTGCATAAAGAAAATGCAGAAAACATATTCGCCATTTAACATACATTGCTATGATCACCTAAAAACTCCGTAGGATTTATCTAATGAAAGTTTCAATTAATCCGATCTAAAATGATACTGATCGTAGAGACATAGCTAGGAGCAGATTATATGAGCTAAAAAAGTAGCGATCAATTGCAATTTTCTCCTTTATTTCCTCTAAAATCCTATTAAAAAAAAAAACTCGAAAAGTATCTTCAACATTCAAGTTCTAGTTAACAATACGATCATCTTCAGTCATCAAGTCCTCCATCAATCATCATCAGAAAACAAAATTAACAATTTTAAGTGATTAATTACAAATAAGTAAAGGGGAAAAAAGAGGAAAAAATTGAGAAAATTATTTTCAGAAAATACCCATTAAAACAAAAGGGAGGCAACAGAAATCATCTCAATGAAAACCAGAAGAAAAAGGAGAGAGGTTCTATATGTAGTATCGAAAGTTATATATATATATATATATATATTATCAGGAAAAAATTTGTAGAGGCGAATAGATAAGAGAAATGAAATTTCCCTTATTTATTTTTTTCCTGTGGTTATTGGCTTTTGTATTTGTTGTTATTGTTATACTCTCTCCTTCTTCTTTACCTTTTAACTGCGCCTCCTTCTCCCTTTCTCTCCTTTCTAAGCGTCCCCTTAACCATTTAATTTTATTTCTGTTTCTGCGGAAAAAAAAAAAAGATGGTGCCGGTGCAATGCACCTAACTCTCGGTACTCTATGCAGCATTTGGTGTACCTTGTTTGGTCAAATTGAGTAACGCTTACTGTTTAATAATGATGGTCGTCTTGGAAATTTTTGTAAGTTATATATATACCTTTGGTCTCTTTATATTTACCGCTAAATTAAATTTAAGATATTATTTTGATTTTTAGATCACTTGTATAAAATCTTTAAATAGTTATTGCTTCTTTTTCACTTTTTTTTGAGTGAAGGATCTTTCGGAAATAATTTCTCTGCCTTTGTTAGGTAGGAGTAAGGTTTGCGTGCACTTCACCTTGTTGTTATTATTGTAGTTATTACTACTAAAAGTTTATCTTACGTATTTCTTTCATTTTCGCTTTATCATATTATTGTTACCGGAGGAAAAGAAGCAGAGATAAAGCAACAAGTTACTAGGGTTGTGCATGGATCGGATCGGATTTAGCACATTTCAGATTCGGATTTCGGATTCTACAAAATGCAATCTGAATCCGATTCGAATTAATATCGAATCGAATCGGACCGGATCGGATTTTAAAGTTTGGATTGGATCAATATTTTGGATTTCGGATCGGATTATTATGCCTCAAAGTTGCAAACTCATACGTATATTTTCTTTGTAAAAGAGGTAATACAACAAGAAAAATTCATGTTTCTGCAATTATGAGAGTACTATGGTGCAAAAATAGCTAAATCCAGCAATTGTAAAGTTAATAACTTGGAGGAAGATGTAAAGGAAGTATTGAGTATCCGAAATTAAAGTTTAGTATTTATATATGTCCTAATAATTTCGGATTTCGGATCGGATCGGATCAAAATTATACCCATCCGAATCCGATCCGAATATCCGAAATTTTAATAAACATAATCCGAAATTGAGCGAATCGGTTCGAATTCCGGATATCCGATCAAATGAAGAGCACTACAAGTTAGGTACTCCTATAAGGCAACTTGAGGGGGAAAATACTTTAACACTGAACACAAATACTAAGGAAGAACCGAAAACTTTTGAACTTATCATTTTAATTATGTTTATAATATTTTTGTGATCATAAAAACTTATGAGCAAACATAAAATATGAAGTTGAATTGCTTTAAAATTAGAAAAAAGTCATGCTCGAGATTACAAAAGAAATAGGATCACATAGATTATGACGGAGGAATATTTAAAACTCGAAACTAACTATAGAAGTTGCTTCCAACTTTTTCACTTAATATTAACACATGTTACTTAGAACTTTAGGGAGGTGATACAAATAGATAAGAGTCTGATATGAAATAACACAAGAATAAAGGGAGGTGTTACAAATAGATAAGGGTCTGATATGAAATAACACAAGAATATATTGGGGCTGCCATTGAGATTAGTACAATAAAGTATGATGGTAACTATGGGATAAGAAAATGAGATTTGAATTTAATTTGAAGGGGTGTTGTATAGAGAGCAAAGTTAGGCCAAAATTGAATTATATTTCTTGTTTTAGTCGATGGCCTTTAAAGATAAAGGGAGGCCAAGTATGCAATACGTGTTTTGTATAGAGACTCCAAGTAGCGAGTTGTCTCTAATTCGTCGGCATTTGTGGCAGTGGACTCTACCTTTTGATGTTGATATTGCTCTTATCCTTACACTTTTTCAATATACCATGGTTTCATAACACTATTTATCCACTCAATCGATTGAATTGAACCACTCAAATTTCTGAGAATTCCATCGTCTCAATTTAAGTATTTTAATTGATTTGGCAACGGGTGTTAAAGTGGAAATTAAGATTTATTGTGTTAAAATGGCATGTGTCCATAAGTAAAGAGAAAGTCAACAAAATTTTAGGACTTTCTTTGAACAGAAAACATGCTCAGCACAATGATACATTTTTATTATTAATTAAAAAAGGTGAGTCTAGAAATACATTTTCAAATGAGGAAATGACGAAAATTCTGTTTTTTTTGAAGAAAAAATAAAAAAATGCGGGACAAAACTAAAGATAATTAAATAGGGACAGCAAGTTCTTCAAAAGGTGCCAACTGACTCCTCACATTTATTTCAAGGGTGCCGTATTTTTAAGTCTCTATAATGACATGACGCAGTTCATTAAATGATGGAATGTAAATTGTTTCATGACTACTAGTATATATTAATGTGAAAAAACTGAAAATGTCCAGAAAAATGAATTTACCACTTTGTTATTTTAGTTTGTTAAATTTTACCATTACTCCATAAGGAAATATAACAGATCCTTCCTTCTTTTGGATTTTCTCTTGAATCATTAGGCAGTGATAACTTAGTAAATTAAACATCATTTCTTTTCTTTTTTCTTTCTTCTTCCCTCGTTTGATTAGTCCCCTTACCGAATTTCACCCCCCCAAAAGCTATTCTTCTTCTATTCCAACTAGCAAATCGTACATGCATGAGCATGACACTTATATAACTGAATTTGTTCTATTACATTGAAGTTTTAGAACAACAAGATGCAATTATTAATTTTTTTTTTCTTCAAATTTACTCTTATTGAAGTCAATTAAGTGAGATTTAAAGAGAGATAAAGGATATATAACTTGTACTGTTATACATATACTCTTACTGATTAGGGTTATTAAATATTGTCAAACATCTGCCATGGAAGCTTTTAGATTGAGCTAAGAGAGATCGGAGCTTAGAGAGAAGAACAAAGAGGATGAAAGAATGGAATTTCACTGTTGTATTGATTAACTGTGTATACACTTATATATACAGTGTAATCTAACTAACCTTAACTAATTGCTAATTACATAATTAACAACTAACCTAACAAACTACTTGCCAGCTAAGTGATAGCTGGCTTCTTCACTCATGTGACAGCTTTAACACTCCCCCTCAAGTTGTGTAATGTGAATAGATTGAACATTCTCAACTTGGATAATAAGAAGTCATGTTGCGCCTTTCCTAAACCTATAGTCGGAATATCTGCCTGTTGCAAACTTGTGGGCACATGTTCTGTTTGTATAACCTCTTCTTGTATCTTCTCCCTAATGAAGTGACAATCGATTTCTATGTGCTTCGTTCATTCATGATAGATAGGATTAGCAGCAATTTGCGGTGCTGCCTTGCTATCACAATATAGCTTAACAGGCAACTCCAACTTCACCTTCAATTCCTTACACAGTCCAACGAGCCAAAATATCTCAGCAATTGCATTGGCCATACTTCTGTACTCTGCCTTTGCTGAACTTCTTGACATTGTATTTTGCTTCTTTGTTTTCCAAGAGATTAAGGAGTCTCCCAGTTTGACTATGAATCCACTGACTGACCTTCTTGTCATGGGACAAGTGGCCCAATCTGCATTACAATAAACTGTGAGCTGTGAGGAAGGCTTAGAAGATAACAAGATGCCCAAACCAAGTGCATTCTTCAAGTACTTCACCACCCTTAAAGCCCCTTCCACGTGTGATCTCTTTGGTCTATGCATAAATTGACTCAGGTTCTGCACTGTGTAGCTTATATCTGGCCGAGTCATTGTTAGGTAAAGTAGCTTCCCTGCCAGTTTCTGATAACCAGTGGGATTAGACAACAACTCATCACCACTGTCCTCAGCCTTATAGTTGTTGTCACGACCCAAACCGATGGGCCGCGACGGGCACCCGGTACCTTACCCAATCGAGTACCAACGTAATGTATCTTTCTTATTACATCATAATATACACGTGGCATATGGGCCTAATAGGCCAACGTGATCATTTATAAATTCTAAACATAGGCTGACAAGGTCATACAAGTATTCGTATACAGATTTGTCTACAAGCCTCTAAGAGTACATAAGTATCATAAAGGTCGGGACTGAGCACCAATCAATGTCCTAATTATACTGACCAAATAAGCAACTCCGAAGCAAATGGAGCGAACCAACATCTTCCGCTGAGCTGATAGCCTACTTGGAGGGCTCTCGACCTGTCTATCGGGACCTTCAGGCATGAAACGCAGCGTCCCCAGGCAAAAGGGACGTCAGTACGAATAATGTACCGAGTATGTAAAGCACAAAAAATAAGTACGACATGGAAGAAATATAGAATAAATGACTCAACCTGTAAGTCTGGATAACTCTGTAAATCATGAAATACTTATAGTGTCATGCATATGCGTATGAATGTCATGTCGTGCATAGCTACATATGTTCATAACATCATCAAGCCTCTAAGGGTATCCCATCATATCATCTCAGTCATTGTGGGCAAATCATCAATGTATACCAGCTGATCAGGTGGTGGTGCGTATATAACACCATAACCTTTTCCCATATCCCATATACATATACATACATATATACGCGTATATAACGTCGTCTGAGTCATGGGTCAATGTACATGTATAAATGCATGAAATGCATAAGAAATACGTTAATAAGATTTTCTCGGAATGTCATAAAACTCAATATGCCTTTCGGATAAACTTTATCAAAAACGTATTTTTTTGAGACCCATGAGCAGGAGATATAGTAATAATTCACATAGGGAATCAAGAATATAGACACCCCTAGTATTTCTATGAATAGAGAAATGTTGCGTATTTTGCTCGTTTCATTTGCATCGTATGGATCATGCCAAAAGGAAGAAAAGATAGCCTTAACATACCTGGAGTAGGGAAAAATCCGTATAATATTCTTGACAAAGATTGCACCGTACTCCTTTAGAACCGCAAAATTTTAAGTTGCTAATAATTCTCGTTGGATTTCTTTTGGTTTGCAAGAATTCACGTTGGAAGCTTTTCGGATGGAGTTTAGCGTTTCTTCTTGAATACTTTGAATTAGGAAGGAAGACATATATCTTTGTTATTCTCTGTCCAAATGAACCAAATTTGTGTAAAAGAGACCAAAATGTTTTATAAACTTTCAATGTCTTACACGTTGATGAGTTATTCATTTTAGCTAGACACCTAAGCCCATATGACTTCTTAGTCATATGTCTTTAATAGTGGCCTATTGCCACGTAGGGGTGGGTGGGGATTTTAAATATTTATCCACTAATTTATTAATTAACTAGGTAATGTTTCGTTACCCGGTATTTAACTAATTACTTGCATAATTAAGAATTATCTCAAATTAATTAAAATTTTACTTAGTTTTAATTCCCTTTTATATATCATACTATCATGGTCATATGGTACCTTGTATGGTACTAGTCCATAAATATCGGGTATTAATGCTCGGCACGTATTTTATCCCAACATGCCAAACTTGGATGAAAATTCACTTTCTTTGACTTGCTTCCCCTCTCACCTTCACATATTTACTCATCACTTGTTTGAAATAATATAGTCCTTATAATCTCCAAATAATCTTTTCCTTGGACTGATGTCAATTACCTTACGACAAATTCAACGTACAATACTACAGGGTGCAGCATCGTCGTAATTTAATATTGCGAAGCGTAACATCATCGTAATGTAATACTGCAAGGCGTAACATAATCGTGATATAATACTGCAAGGCATAACATCATCGTAATATAATACTGCGGGACGTAATATCGACGTAATATTGCGGGGCGTAACAGTTGTGATCAAATTCTGCACTGGTAAACCTTTGATTAACCTCCATGGGTGTGCCAGCAAGCTTAGAACCAGCCAATCCTAAGTCTGCAATGAGATCTAGTGCAAACTTTCTTTGGCATACTAGTATTCCATCTGTACTCCTAGCTATTCCAAGACCAAGGAAGTACCTCATCTCCCCCAGATCTTTGATCTTGAAATGATAATGAAGCATGAGTTTTGCTGTATTAATGAGAATGGGAGAAGAGCCCGTGATGAGAAGGTCATCTACATAAACCAAGATAAGGACTATCTCATCCCCTAATCGTTGAGTGAAAAGGGAATAATCATGATGGCTTTGAACAAAGCATGAGGAGATAAGTGCTTCACAAAGTTTAAGATTCCATTGTCGAGAGGCTTGTTTCAAGCCATACAGTGACTTCTGTAGCTTGCATACTCTCTTACACTCCCCTTGTCCTAGAAGATCAGGAGGAGGAACCATGTAAACATCCTCCACTAGATCACCTTGGAGAAATGCATTGAATACATCCATTTGATGTATCTTCCAACCATGCATTGCAACTAAAGATATGACAGTCCTTACAGTGACCATCTTAACCATAGGTGAAAAAGTCTCATGGTAATCCAACCCTTCTTGCCGAGTATACCCCTTAGCTAACAATAGAGCTTTGTATCTATCCACCTCTCCTTTAGTATTGTATTTGATTTTGAACACCCACTTACAACCGATGGCCTTCTTGTCAGGTGGTAAATCTACTAGCTACCAAGTACGATTGTCTTTAAGGGATTGTAGTTCTTGCTGCATAGCTGTTATCCACTGTGGATCATGAAGAGCCTCCTCATATGAATCAGGTTCCCTTACATACGAAATGTTGCAAATAACCTTATAATAAGGGTCTGAGAGTGAAATATATGACATGTATGCTGACAAAGGATAGGCTGCTCCTACCACAGCATGTGATAAAGGTTTAGATCCCTTATTTAAATAGTCACTAAGCCAGCTAGGGGGCTTAGAGGTTCTGCAAGACTTCCTTGTGCCTGTAATCTATCTAGGTCCTAAAGGTATAGTCACCTCTGGTATATCACCATGTGTAGCCTCACCAAGTGTGAAAGAATCAGTAGCAATAGCAGGGACTCATAGGGCTATATCATTCTCAGAAACACCGACTGTAGATTCTCCTAAATGCAAAGATGCAGAAATGGATGGACTGGATAGAATAGATACTGACTCTGCTGTAGATGCAACAAACTATATCAGTATTGGTGTCAATAACAAAGGGATCATGACAATCATCCCAAAACTCCACAAATTTAGGTGGTCTAGACTGGTAGCAGGAGGACCTAAAGGGGAATATGTCCTCTCTAAATGAAACATCTCTGCTAACAAAGAACTATTTGTTGGCCAAATTATACAGCCTATAGCCTTTCTGAGTGGTAGAGTACCCCATATGTACTGCGGGATTGCTCTTGCTCCAAATTTGTCACCTTTGGCACCCACATTAGTGGCATAACATAAGCACCCCAGTAACCTTAGGTGTTGTAGATTAGGAATCCTCCCATAGAATGCCTCAAATGGTGATCTTCCTTCCAAGGCAGTGGATGGAATCTTGTTAATCAGATAAGCAGCATTCTGAATATACGATCCCCAGAAAGTTAGGGGAATACAACCTTGGAATCTGATGGCTCTTGCAACCTCAATAAGTTGTCTATGCTTTCGTTCAACGACTCCATTCTGTTGAGGAGTATGAACACATGAACTTTGAGGTACAATTCCTGCATTACTGAACAAATATGTACAATGCGAGTTAAAAAACTCTGTGCCATTATCACTCCTGAAGACCTTGATTGATCTGTCAAACTGTGTCTTTATTAATGACAAAAAATCTCTCAGTACAACTGAAACATCACTTTTCAACCTTAACAAGAACACCCAGACCATTCTACTACAATCATCTACAAGTGTAAGGAAAAATCTATGACCATCATGTGTAGGCACTTTGTAGGGACCCCATACAACAACATGAACTAGCTCAAACAGTCCCCATACATCACCATGATCTAGCTCAAACAGTTTAGTAGTTTTACTAGTACTTTGAGGAAAAGGAGACCTAGTTTGCTTAGCTAGAGGGCATATGGAACAAGATTTGTGAATATCTGTTTTGACCTCCTTACAAATATTCATTTGCTGCAGTATTTTGTAAGGAATATGTCCCAGCCTCCTATGCCACAATGTTGCAGATTGAGTCACAGCAACAACCAATGATTGTGGTATCCTGTTCTCAATGTTGTTTCTTCAATAGTACAGGTCATTGTACATTCTACCAGTACCCTTCACCTTCCCAGTGTGAAGGTCCTGCATTATGAAAAAATCAGGATAGAAAGACATGAAACACTACAATTCTCTAGTTAGCTTAGCCACTGATAACAAGTTAAATTTGAAGTCTGGTACACACAACACACCACTGATGTCCCCTTGAGCCAATCTACATTTACTTATATGGCTAATAGGAAATTGTTTTCCATCAGGCAAATATAATAATGAGCCTTGCTTACCATAGTCATTCAAATCAAATAGCATTTCAGGAGTAAATACCATATGATCTGTTTCCCTGCGTCTACTATCCACTTGTGTCCAGTTTTACTAGCCATGAAGGAGCAGATAGTACCTGCCATGTTGGCTGATGTTTTTAGAACATTCTCTTTGCTGAGCATTTGTAAGATTTGCCTATACTGTTCTGGAGTGAATGTAACAGTGACACCACTTGTAGATCCTTGAGATTGTCCCTGAGATTGTGCATCTTGAAACTGCATAAGATTATGAGTTCCTTGCCTCTGCATCTGCATATGGTTGATGTTTCCATGTGTTGTTCCTGCATAAAGATTCCCAACGGCTGCAGTTATACCTGTTTTCCCTGTGTTATATGTCACGCCCCAAAACCGAGGGACGCGACCGGCGCTCAACTGGAGGACCCC